ACACCAGCACACGGCCAGCGTAAAAAAGCAGCACCTGAAATTAGAGGCTTTTGGGCTAAAATCCTCTAATACTGTTGAGTCAAAATGTTTGGATGCTCTGGCCTGCATGGCTGGGAGAATCCTCAGGCAACAAAGCATGGTGACCACAATGCAACAATGCGTCTAGTGATCACAAGTTATGGCATGTTCCTCGTGTGGCCTCAAATATGAGTCCAGTTAAGCTAAAATCAGAAGCTCAAAGCACTGACCAAGTGGTTCTGGATGAGTTTTGTGTCAGCTCTGTTAGTAAGTTGCCAGCCCTTTGTTAGCTATTATCCCCCTCAGCAGAAGGAAACGTATACCCCTGTGTCATACAAAATAGCACCTCAGCTTCATGGGGATGGTGGCACTGTGCTCCAATGTTGGGCTTGCACTAAGATACCTGAGCTGGAAGCACACACTTCCTTCTGCTGGACTCACCGTGGGAGAAGCAACCAGGCAGAGTTACTGCTGAGCTATTTCCTAACTGAAGTTCAAGTGAAAAAACGCAAAGTTGGGAAAGCACCTTCTGTACAGAACCTACAGCAGGGCACAGTGTTCAGAACAGTCTATTTGGCTTTGAAATCAGGTACTGCAGGAACAGTCTCAGTAAAGGCAGTGGTGGCTGAGCTATTTTTGTTTTTTTCCCCAGAACAGTCAACAGTAAAATACTGATAACTGATGATCTTCAGGTCTAATTGTCTAAGGAGACACAGTTGGTAGAGACTGAATACTACCAGTTTATAAATCAGAACACCTCTGTAAGAAACACCTTTCTCCTCCTTCCCTCTCCTCCAAAAGATCAATCCTCCTCCACCATCAGCAAAAGCACAAGACAAAGTAGAAAGAGAGGAGACTGTCAGCATCAGAGTCTCTAAAAGACCCAAAATTCAATTGCTGCAAGTTACTTTTTGAGGCTCTGACGTTTTCTGTTGCTTTTAGCAGCAGCAGCACAGACGTGCTGAGGCACCAAGAACTGGGAAAATAAGCTGACACGTGAGCAAATACAAAAGCTTCTTTGGCATTAAAATTGAACCACACTTCAATATGTTTTGTTATTTTGTTTCGCCTCTGAAATTTTTCCAATTATGAGTCCAAAAGTTCTTCCATTAGAAGTTGTGGACAAAGCACCACAGAGACCAGGGCTTCAGTTATACAGCTTGGCCATAAACCAAAGTAGCTTTCTGATGTTCTGACATAAAATTAGTGCAACTTGTAAATACACCTCATTTGTACTAATCTGCATAAAGACAAATGGATTTCTTGCTTGCATGTCAATTGCAGTTAACTTATTTCCCAGATGAAAAGATTTAAAACACTTTCAGTATAGATTTGCACTTGCTGTGCAAACAGAGCTAAAATATTTCTTAACAGTATTATTCAGGCCTCACCGTGTAAACCCCACTTCTTCCCACAGTTCTACCAATTGCCCGTTACTGGTATCTAGTGTGTGCCCTCCCCATCCCATCATAGGCTGCACAGGAAAAAAGACAGAAGAATAAAAGAAAAGATCAGGCAGTGGGAAAATTAACAGCAAAACATCATGAAAGGCACCAGAACATGCGGGGCTCAAAGATGGGGCATGTTTATATTGAAAGGGAAAAAAAAAAAAGTGCTGCTAAACAGAAGGGAGGAAAACAGTTGCTCAGAAGAGATAGGAGGCCACATGAAACTGGGCAAAGAGCAAATACAGACTTGACTTTCAGCTCCTGAAAGAAAAACATCCGAAGAGGCTGACAAGCATCTTTAGAGGCTGCCACTTAGTTTCCTCGCTACTGGGCAAGAAAATTTGGACAGATTAATTCTATTCTTATTAAAAAAAGAAAGGATATTGCCATTAGAAACCAGGCGTGACACTACCATGACCCCCTCCATGCATTTTTAAGAGTTTGTCAGCTGCTCACACCCCTCCTCCTTGTAGTGGTCTCAATATATCCTTCTGAACACCAGATTCCTCCCATCACTTGGGCAGACTTGACAGCAGAGCAGCAGGAGGAACTGCCACATCAGACAGTTGCAAGTTTGTGTGCTAGAAGCTAGCAGGAACTCTCAATCCAACTTCTATAGGTAAGTGCAGAAGACAATCACAGCTAAATGGAAACATCAGTCTTTTCCTACATTTAACTTTATGAGGAAAACATGAAAGTACTGAAGCAGGAAGAAGGGAGAAAGGAAAAAAAAGTCTAGATGGCTTATTTCACTTAATGGACACAATAGCTCAACGTTTCCTGGGTCTTCTGTGCAGCTTGTTTAGAGAACGGCAGAGCTGGCACTGCATCTGGTTCCAGCATTTATTTCATTAGGTGGCTTTGTCCGCCCCACTTTCAACAGCAGAAGGGCGGCAGAACAGTGGTGATGGAAGGGCTGCTGCAGCGGGGAGTTATCCACAGGAGAAAACATTATAGCGACCACTGCACTGAAAGGAAAGCCGCGCAGGCAGCGATAGCACATCCATACACAACACTGTCCCCCTGCTTTTCCTTTCCCCCTCTGCCACCCTATTTTTTCCCTCCTATCCTTTCACCAGCCTACTACTGTCTGTCTTCACATTGCTGCCTGCTCCAACAGGCTGGCCGGTACAGAAAAAAGACTGGGTTTTTGAGGAGCATTTCCTATTAAATCTCCTAATGGAGAGTAGGAAAGAGGCACCAGGGTCATTGTGAACGTCTAACCCAGCACTGGGGACCTTGCACACTCCTGCTGGCATTTTTTTCCTGTTTTGACAAAGTCATGTGGCTTTTTGTAGTATTTACTTTGAAACAACATTCTCTATTGAATGTAGCGTCCCAGTGGAAAATGGGACATAATGGTTATTATTCAGCATTTTGAAAGTCTGAGACTGGAACAAGAAACAATCTGTGACTGTGAGCTGGAAGACAAACCTTTTGGATCAGGATTGGTAAACAATGGGAACACGGATTGTAGATGCTGGATTCTTTCTGAGGACAAGTAAGTAAACAACCCTCAGAGCAGCATCATTCACAAGCACCAGAATGGAGAAAGGTGTTCTCTTTGCTTGGAAATGGATATTGCAGTTATCTGAAGGCACCAGAGAAAGTTCCAAAGGAAAGCACATATGGGGAAGAGGTTGTGTGTCCCCTTAAGTTACAGGCACATGGTCCTTCAGCCTGGTGCCGTACCTTCCCATGACACACTCGGCTTATTGTTAACAAATCTCTACAGAGCTTTAGTTAGTGCTACCTTTCTGCTTTCAAAATGAATACTGGTTTGAAGAACAATAACTATGAAAAGCTATGAAATAGTTTTTGTTTCCTTTAAAAAAGCTTCTATAGTTTCACCAGCATCTGCATCATCCAGTAGTGTCTGAATCGTTCAGCA